GCTATATAGATGCTAAAGGGCGCGAAAGTTGCAGTTATTAGCGATGAGCTACTCAGGTTTATCGCTCCAGACAGTGTCACAGTACGTTTTGTAGTACGGATAGAGTATTGTAGCAGCGTAGTACGCCGGCGAGTCGTCTAACTTGTCGTAATACTCGCTGATTTTAGCCCACGCGGCACGTAAGTTAATGGCGAGATGGTCCTTAGGCGCCTTATTGTGCGCGTTGTAGTCTACCGCCTCGTACGCTTTAACGCGCTGCTCGTAGTACGAGAGTATAGTAACAATAAGAAGTGTAGGACGAAGGTCTAAGTAAAAAAGCGACACTAAAAGCGTAGTATACAAGGCTAATAGTAGTAGAAAATATAGGATAGAGCATGCTATGCACGGCGTGAGGTTACATAGATCGCTTACTACTGTAACGTGTCCGTGCGCGTGATGCGCGGATTCGCGTGATGCGCGGGGAACACCAAAACACGTCAAACCCCTTCACCTTCAACACACGTTAACTCCACCAATATGGACCCAATTCAAGCTGCGATTGAAGATATTGAAAATCTAGAGCCAGGAGAACAGTTCTCGTATACTAAAATTGCTGCTAAGCATGGTGTTGTGAGATCTACGTTGACCCGAAGGCACCAGGGCCAGACAAGCTCAGAAAGAGACAAGAACTTCAACCAGCAGAAACTCAACCCACAACAAGAGCTAGAGCTTGTGAGATATATCGAAAAGCTCACAAAGCGAGGCATTCCTCCTACACGAGAGATGATCAGGAATTTCTCATCAGAAGTAGCCCATCAGCAGCTCAGCGAGAGCTGGGTTACTCGCTTCATCAACCGACACGAGATCCATCTCATCTCAAAGTGGACCAGCGCCATGGATCGTACGCGCCACCTGGCTGATTCTGAGTCAAAGTATAGACTCTACTTCGAGCTGCTGCATCGAAAGATCACCGAATATCACCTAGAGGCTCGAGATATATACAATATGGATGAGAAGGGCTTCTTAATTGGCTTGATAGGCAGAAGTAAGAGGATATTCAGCAGGCGTCAATGGGAGAAGAAGGAGGTTCGAGCATCTCTCCAGGATGGATCACGCGAGTTTCTGACAGTCCTGGCCTGCTGCTGCGCTGATGGGAGCTCGCTGCCTCCAGCCCTTATCTACGCAGCTAAAAATGGAGCTATACGATCGAGTTGGGTAGAAGATATCAAGGCAGGAGAACATGAGGTCTTTGTCTCATCATCTCCAACAGGCTGGTCAAATGATAACGTAGGCCTAGCTTGGCTGGAGCAGGTGTTTGATCGCTCTACAAAGCAACGATCAGGTAGATGGAGATTGCTCATCCTTGATGGCCATGGATCTCACCTCACGATGGAGTTTATTAAGTACTGCGATCGCCATAGGATCCTCCTCATGATCCTTCCTCCCCATTCGACCCATACGCTCCAGCCGCTAGATGTAGTGCTGTTCAAGCCACTCTCTCAAGCCTACTCTAACGAGCTCACTAACCATCTCCATAAGGCTCAAGGCCTTATTCCAATCAAGAAAGGGGACTTCTTCCCGCTCTTCTGGAGCGCCTGGATATCCTCCTTCACAGAGAGCCTCATATTGAAGGCCTTCGAAGCCACTGGGATCTGGCCGATGGATGCCAACGTTATCCTTCGTAGATTTGCTAGCACGCCAGAAGCTGAGAGAAGCTCATCGTCAGGGCTCTCTGATCATGACTGGAGAAAGCTCGATCGGCTAGTACGAGCTGCTGTTAATGATAGCCATCAGTATGAGGCAAGAAAGCTGCGCTCAAGCGTTCACCATCTCTCTGTGCAGTATGAGCTTTTAAAGCATGAGAACGAGGGCTTAAAGGAGGCTCTTCAACATAAAAAGAAGCACAGGAAGAAGGGCAAAGCTCTTGACCTTCAACAGCGCCAGGAGTATCACGGTGGCTCTGTCTTCTGGTCTCCTCGCAAGCTGCGTGAGGCTCGAGCTAGAGAAGCAGTACGGGAGCGAGATGAGACGGAGGAGAAACTCCAAAAAGCACGGTCCAAGAAGCAGCGCGAGGAGGCTCGACTGCAGCGTCAAGATGAGCTCGAGGAGAGGCGTGTGGAGAGGCAGAGACTCAAGGAGATGAGGGAGCTTGAGCGAGCTGAGAAAGCAGCTGAACGCGCGCGCCAGAAGGAGGAGAGAGACGCTGCTAAAGCTATACAACTACCCCAAAAGGGAAAGAGGAGAGCTTCAGCAGCTACCTCATCGAACAACAAGCGTCAAAAACGCGTTGAGGCTGCTCGCGCTGGTGCTCAAGTTCAAGAAGAGCCTCCAGCTCCTCCATCAAAGCTCACATCACGTGGCCGCAACGTCAACCTCCCATCAAAATATAGATAGTACAAGTTGATCGCAAGCATCTAATTACTCCCCCTCTATAAATTCGTATAATAACAGCTTATATACGTGGCTTAATAGCTTCATTTTTGAAGTAGTGGATATGGTGTTCCCCGCGCATCACGCGAATCCGCGCATCACGCGCACGGACACGTTACAGTCCGTGCGCACCCAACGAGCCAGTTCAGCCAACGAGCCACCCCAACAAGATCAGACGACAAAAAAGATGAGGTTATTGAGCCACCCACAAAAGCTATTATCGTGAGATTTTGGGGGATATTAATATATTGACGCTACTAAAGCGTTTGCACTACTTGTATCTCGCTGGTGTCTTAAGTTGGCGCTCGCGCAGGCCAAATCTGGGTGGGGAGGGCGCCTCAGGCCGACCAGCGTCAACCCGACTTAATGGAGCAACAACACGACGACGCTTTGTCGGTTTTTTGCTAGTTTATGTAAGGCTTCTCGCTTACGCTTATTTGCTGTATCGCGACTTTTTTAAGCGGTTGCAGCTTGTTGTTGTTGCTTTTTAAGTGCCCGTTCGGCAGCTTTCTCCTCACGCTGCCGTAACTGCTTGGCATCCCTCTCAATTTTGGCTTGTTGTCGAGCCACCTTTGCAGCTTCTTGAGAGCGCTTTTTCTTAGCAGCTTCTGCTGCTTTTCTCTCTCTATCGCGAGCTTTTTGGAGTTGTAGCTCCGCGGCTTCGTCCAGTTCTGCGGCCTTGCGCGCGCGGACGCTGGCAAGCTTCCTAGGACTGTAGAATACAGCTCCGCCGTGCCAATTGTCGCCCTCTTGAGTAGTCAGTGTTGTTGATTTAGACGGGCGGGACCTTATAAGGTTGAGTTCAGCGCGTAGCTCCGCGTTTTGGAGGCGGAAAAGCTCGTTGTTAACCTGCAGCGAGTGTAGGCCTTAGGACAGCCGTTTAGCTTTAAATTTGGCCTTGTCAGCCACCGCAGCGTTAAAAATTTTGCGCAGTTAAGGCTAGGTATCGCTATCGCCTTGCTCTCCAATTCCTGGCTCGTCATCTTATTGTTGTGGTTGGTTGTTGAAGCGTTGAAGTACCGGGTCTGCGTCCATCAGCTATACGCCTGTAGCTTTAAAAACTCTTTAATATAAGATCGTGAGTTATTATAGAGCTCTAAGCCGGCCAAAAGTTGCTGTAGAAGTCGCGTTTAGTAATCCTTAAGAGGCCTTAGGTTCGCTAGAGGCGTTAGGTAAGCTCCTCGGTGTAGTGCTTCGAAAGCGGCGAAAAGAGCACGACATCCAACGGCTGCAAACTGTGTGTAGAATGTAGTGGATACACTATAACTATAATGCGTTTGGCTTCACAATACTCCAAAAAATCGGGCGTGAGGTGGCTGGCGTGGCCGTCAAGGATTAGAAGGCGCTATTGCCGGCGAGCTTTGGCTGCTGTATAGCGTTCGAAGACCTGTTAAAGCTAGGCAAGTCTTAAATTATTATTTAACCATCCCAAAGCTGAGTGGGATACGAAAACCTAGTATTTTTCGGCCAACAGGTCGTCAACCTAGCTTAATTGAACCCTAGAGATGCCCTAGTAGATGAGAGCGGGCGGCAATGCCTCTCCAGAAGCGCATACGCAAGCCAGCAGCGTTACCTATTCTCTGTTACTATCTCTCATCGCCGCGGTACGCTCCTTTGACTCATAAACTGCCTTAGAGAAGATCCTCTTCCTGCGGTGGGCGATACCAACAAAGAAGCCCTTCTCATCCCTATTGTACGTGTTGCGCTCTTCAATCCCATGTTCTCGCATCTTAGAGTGCAGCAAGTTGAAGTACAACTCGTATTTACGCTTGTTGTCAGCTAAGTGACGCTCACGATCCATACCGGTGTCCTATTTGGTGATAAGCTCGTCGGGATGACGTTGTTAAAACCGGGTAACCTAGCTATCCGAAACCTCATGCTGCGCAACCGCGCTGCCGAAATTTCTCAAAATACTCCTTGTAGGTGGTACGCCGTCTCTTGTAGTCCCTTCTATGTATCCGATAAGCTCATCCTCTTGTTGTGGGTTAAGGTTTCGTCGATGTTCGGCCGCCTCTGTGCCCCGGGGTTGCTGTGCGCCCCAGTGCCTTCGCGACAGCGTCGTTCGATCAACTCCGAATATTTTTGCAACTTGGCGGTACGAGAATTTATCTCCAGCCCCACGCGATTCGATATATTCAATCGCTTCTTGAATCGGGTCCATGGTTGTAGAGTTATGACGCGTCGCAGTTGGGTGGGTTCATGAGGCAGCGGGGGTTGGGGTGGCTCGTTGGCTGAACTGGCTCGTTGGGTGCGCACGGACTGTAAGCTACGTTTACAACACTAAAAAACTATCACGAGATCGCTCCTACTGCAAAACCAGCAGCCTCACCAGCAGCTAGCTGCTGCCTCTTCCCCGCTCAAGCTGACCAAGCTACTCAAGCCGGCTTCCTCCTCAGCTTGACTTGGCTTGTTAATTACTATGAGGCAGCTTGACTTGAGGGAACAATCAAGCTTCAAGCCGGTCAAGTCAAGCGCTTGATCTGGCTCGCTTGTTGGAATGCCTGCACAACACTCAGCAAAATAGGGTGGTTACACAACTTACTCTATTTCCAGTTCATGTGGATCTCGAAATGAGCCCAGGAAATGGCCTCTAATATGTGCTGGCCCACCTTCACATTGAGCATGTAGCATGTTAGCTACTATCGACCATTTACTGCCTCAGCCGCGATTTATCCAGTTTTGAACGCCGACCGCCTCTTCATCTCGTATCTGTCTTACATATGACGTCTTATATATGCCTGGGTGTCAATTAATGTTACATGAGGCTATTCTGGTTCGCGAGCACGTGAAAGAAAATATCTATGTTATGAGTAGTAGCACCTGCATCTGCACCGGCAGCCAGCGGTATTCCATCTCTCCACCAAATTCGACCATCTAAGATCGTCACGCCACTTCAGGCACAAAAACGACACACTATCGCTTGGGACTAAGACCGAACAACCACTCTTGTCTACAACGGCAAAGCTTACTTTTATTGCCACTGTGGCTGTACTCCTCTCGACCGTAGTAGCGCGCCAGGCGGTAGTTCCGGACAAGCAATGCTGTGCCGGTTCATTGCAGTATTGTAAGCTCCAACAACGCCCAATACTGTGTGAACCAATACGACGGTCAGGACTGTAAATGTTGCCATTCAGGACTACCCTTCTTGGAATCGGCCCGATGCTTCTTGGCCGAATGTTCTACAACCTTCACTTTCACTCCTTTGCCGTTATGTGCTTACGCATATCTTATGTATATAACCTTGTGTATCTACTCCGTAGGACAATCGACGCAGTTCTCATATGCAGTTGTTGACGTCTTGTCTACTGCGATAGTAAAGCCGCGTGCCGAAAGCTCCTTCACCAGTCTGCCAAAAGCGATAACTTCTTCCTTTACACAGCCAACCGAGGGTAAGTCGTGGGAAGAATCTCACTAATATCATATTGTTGGACGTTTAGGGCTGACAATCTCGTGTAGAGTCGTGCCTACTTGTTTTTGCTCTCAGCTCAATGCAGCGGTACCACAGTCCGCAACAATCAATTAAGTGGGTCCTAGAAGGTTCAGATTGGATTGATTGATTACCGCTTTAAGCCTAGTAGTTACCTATAGGAGTTTAAGCCCTACCTAGATAGGTAAGTGGGTCTAGGAGAGTGACCGGATTGAATTGATTGTTGCGGAGTCTAAGCGGTACCCGATGACTGCTAGTATTCATCTCTGTCACAACCGAACGAAGACCGGATAGCATAGCATTGTAGAAGAAGGCAATCATTGTACCGGCTGGAGGAACTTCTTTGAATAAGCGTACAATCGTACAATGACAAGCAATAACGCGTTCTCTCTGTGTTCGACTTCGCTCAGCACTCGACTTTGTTCTGCGCCTTTTCTTTCAGGTTCAGGCACGCTGAGACTTGGCCATCAACTCCGATTCTAGCAACTTGTATAGACTGTGCGAACGTAGATCTTGCTAGTAGCATGGACGAGTGGATCATGCACGATTGATTTGTGGCCCCTACCTTCATCCTTGGTACTGCATTTCTCGTCAACGTGAATTTGCTTTCTCCGCCTTGTGATAGAATTCTATTTGAATACTCCACAGTCTGATGTCGGCTTTTCGATCTCTGTTCCTCGACAGATTGTGCCCTTGCGGGGTACGTAAATCTATATGATGTGATGAGGGCATAAAAGCGATAGGCCAGAAGGGAGTCAGCTAGATAGCGAACTGTTCAACTTCGTACTGAGATTCAAAAAACATTGCTTGTTTTCGTGTGGCGTATCTTGGGCGCATTGGGAACATGCGGGATGTTCAGCTGAAAACTACGGCTGAACAGTTGATAACGTTCGTCGACAACAAGCTGTCCACGGGTATCCCCACTTTGGGAAACAGATGATCCCAGGGAATTCAGAGCTATATCGCGATTTTACTTGTTCAATAAAGCTATTAGGAGATCCCACGTGCATAATCTTAGCATTTTTATGCATGTGTATGCGTGTATGCGTAAGTCGCTGACGGCCCGGTCGGGTAGATTGTAAGCATATTGAGCTCGTGGGCGCTAGATATATCTAGGTACGTAATTTGCAGTTATTTTTTTCAGCTTTCTAAAAAGCTTGTGTGCGCGAGAATGATTCACGCATATAAATAAAAAGCAAACGTCAGTAACTACCAGTTAGTGCTTCAAAAATAGCTCTCTACTAACAAAATCGCTCCAGCTTAGAAGATGGACAAAAGAGAAGGGCAATTCCATAAGATTGTACCTCTATTCTTATTCTCATGATCGTAAAATGTCTAGGTCAACCCATATTGCAGATCTCTGTTTTCCTTATACACATTATCTGTGTCGTCGAGGAAGCTGCTCAGGTGAAGCTGCAGCCAGCGTTTTAGCCTTCTGAACTTCTCAATTCTGCCTGATTTGACTCAAAACGTACACCTTCATACGCCAATTAGGCTGATAGCATTTGTGGGCCATGTATGGCGCATGGTTCAGCTCATGCAGCAGAGATGTCAACAAGCAAGTCAAGCTGGCTTGATTCTTATCGATTGCAGATCACAGACAATATAGAGGCTCGTGCACAGTGGCACGTCCCAGAGAATGGTCTGTGATCTGCAATCGATATGAATCAAGCCAGCTTGACTTGCTTGTTGACATCTCTGTCATGCAGTCATGATAAGCTACCGGATCTAGAGATGGAGACCCGTACACTGCCCAGGTGCTGCGGCATGATCTTCCGAAACCGTTAAACGCCTCACAAGTCAATGAAAGTATTGATAAATAGACGCTGTCTATCTGATTGTCATCTGATCATGAAACTTATCATCATTTGAACAAGATATATCCTTGCCCTCAGTCCAAAGCATGTCACCGAAGCAGAAGGGCACCTTCACTCATGGTTCTTATCCCCCGGAAAAGGGTTCAATGCCGTCCTCTACATGGAAGATAGGCCAGCACACGGCTTACAGATCGGCCGGGTAAGCCCGATCTAGAGTACTACGTTGAATTAATCTAACGTTGGCAGGAAGGTGGAAGACGTCTACATCGGTGTTATGGGAGTCACCGGAGCAGGAAAGTCTTCATTCATAGATTTGTGTACAGGACAAAAGATTGGAGTTGGCCAAGGCCTCCGTTCACGTAAGTGAAATCCGGTTGTACAACCACGCCAGTAACTAATACAGACCCAGACACGCAGGAGATTGGAGAGTTTGCTTTCATGCTGAGTGCAAACCTCAGAGTTCATCTGGTCGATACGCCAGGTTTTGACGACACGGATCGGAAGGATACTGACGTACTCCGGGACATTGCTGGATGGCTGGGCGTCTCGTATACGAACAAGAAACGTCTAAGTGGCATGATCTTCCTACATCGCATTATCGACCCTAGGATGCAAGGATCTGCAAAGCGCAACCTTTTCATGTTCCAAAAACTCTGCGGCGAAGAGTGCTTCAGTCGAATCATACTTGCTACCACTATGTGGTCTCTTGTTCCGCCAGGTATTGGCGCTCAGCGAGAGCAAGAGCTGATGCGACAAGACGATTTCTGGGGCTTTATGCTGAAAAAGGGCAGTCGAATCATGCGACACACGGACGAAAATGATCGCTCGTCCGCTTTAGCCATACTCAACGCGGTAGTTCGTAACCGCAAAGAAATAACGCTCCGTATTCAACAGGAAATGTCCACTGAGGGCTTAGGTCTTGAGGAGACTGAGGCAGGGCAACAATTGAACGAGGACATAACAAAGGAGCGGGAGAGGCATCGAAGAGACATAGAAGAGTTGCAGCAGGAGAAAGAGGAAGCCTTGGCAGTGGCAAACCAGGAGGCGGCGGAACAGATCAACGAGCTCCAAGCCGACCTTGCCAAAAAAATTCAAGCTGGCGAAGAATCGCAGGAGCGCCTTCGCACTGATCTTGAAAAGTTGCAGGCAGAACGTAAAGCAGAGCTGAAGAAGCTCTTCGAAGAAATGCAAGAGCAGAAAGATAAGCTAGATAAGATGGAGGCCGATAACGAAGAAACCAGGTTCATGGCAACCAGTCAGACTAACAGAGAAGAGTTTCAAGGCGTATTGAGCGCGTTGGAAGAAAGTATGCGGATCGAAAAAGAGACTCTTAAGACACAGTTTGAGACATTCGAGAAAAAGAAGAATGGTGAGTTCTCAGCCAGAATTTGAGACCAAGAATACAGCTGACCTGATCCAGGGGTTATCATGGAATGTGGTGAGTGGCTTCAACTGATCTGGGATGGGGTTTGTGCGATGCTTGAATAAGATTGGAACGCTCCGTATCATCCTAGCTTATACGAACCGGGGCTGTCGGAAGTTGTCACGGTTTGGGGTCTCTGCTGCTCTGCTCCTGCAGTCGCAACTTACCTTTGTAATGGAACGATGCCTATCTAGGACTAGCGCTGTTTACGGTCACCCACCTACATATACAGTTTGTAGACTCAGACAATACAACCTCAGTTCAATCCTTCAATTCTTCCAGCACCCACTATCCCCACAGAAGTAGATCCGGAGATCACCGAAGTTGTTGAGAGCTTGATAGGTATGGGGATGTTGCCGTTAGCATCCATGGTGTCAGAAGTGGCAATCATTTCTTAGCTATTTTGATTTTCCGATGAGACAGCATGTTCTGAGCAGGTCAAATGCGTCTGCTGGCTCAACTCTTCTCTCTCTCCAAGGGTCTATGTCGCGGACAATCATATTTTTCCTACTAAAACCAACAAATCCCCCTCCTTTTGTATGTTTTCCTTTGCTTGAGTTGATTCGAGGGATCATACACGATTTCGACTGGGTAACATGGAACTCCACTGTCACATCAGTAGGGTGTTATAGTAGCACATATCGGAACACCTCATTTTCTGCTTAATGCGTTTTAGTGCTGTAAACATTGATTGGTGAGAGCTCTCCTCTTACTCTCAACCTGCCAACATATGGCTCGTTACCTTGTTCGCTCGTTGTGCTTACTGCATCTTCGAACCATGATTCGGTAAACCCTATCTGTGGGAACCTCATACGATCCGACCCGAGCGAACAGTGAACCCAAGTCACTAAACACCTTTTGAGTCAACCGAATGCATTCAATCAATATAAAACCCAGTGTAAAGCTCACCGGCTTCCTCACAAACTAACACCACCACCGGCGGGAACCCTAGGCGGGCTAGAATCGGATCTTTGACACGAATTAAGCAAGTGGCTAGTACGCGAGATATTTGCGGCGCTCCCGTAGTGACGGGAGACCAATGGCATTGTTGCCTGTAGTGCTGATTACTTTCTTGGTCCGTAGATCTAGATCGTCCCTCAACGTTTACAACACGAAACGTGAATCTACGAAGAAGCACCGGTCAAGTCGGCCTTTGCGCAGCGCGAACCGAGGCAGCACACAAACAAGTAGGCCCGACTGAACCGGCCACTTCCAACGCGGGAAGAACATGGCCCATAAGGGTTACGGTAATTGCGGTAAGCTTGGGCAGTTCATGCGATCACCACAAAAACAACATTTGCTATCCAGACCCCCGAAGTCCCTAGAACTAGAAGCAAGATGAATCAAGAGCAGTATCCGACGCGATCTTCAGAAGTGTGGCGTAGGATAAAGAGAACCTTGGAAGGTTGCTCCACATGATATTACTAGGTGGTGCGATCAAGATGTAACGTGCGTAGGGACCCTCGCCTAATCGGCCCTAATACCCGCAATACCAAGCCAGTGCCTTAGGTATTCCTAGGCATCCCCAGATGGCTCATGGACTTTGATCGCCATGTAGTCTAGACTGCTCCGTGGTCAGAAAGTATTACATGGACGATACGCGTTCAGCGCGCGGGCTACCTCCAGATCCAGGAAATCCGATGCACACCTCCTGGTCAGTATCAGCTGATTCCGCAATCTGCACTGGCAAAACAGGGCTGACTAGGTAAAGGAGTGTCAATGGGGATCTGTATATAAGTCTGGGAGAGAGATGCAGATGAGGATGAAAAACAAAAACCTCGTTGCTTTCGAACGAACCCCAACTCAAGTTTTATCCAGTCATTACCACTTGTTCATTCTTATCAAGATACACATTGTGACATCTTTATGATGTCTGCCCGCACTATTATCCGCAGGCCAGTGATGGTGCACACTCTATTCCGGACTTCACAGCAAGCTACCTCGGTCAGGAGGTTGGCAACCATGGCTGATTACAAGGCTTCCACCATGCCACCTAACCACAAGGCCACTGTCGGTAATCTCCAGACGTTTGAGCTTCCCGAGTCTCTCAATGGAAGTGTAGCAGACAGAGCGCTCGGCAAGAGCATGATCGATGCTTGGAAACGAGACGGCATCCTTCAGATTTCCATGGACCCCATCAACCGCAAGCTAGCCGATGCAGCATTTCTGTGCAGCAAGAAGTTCTTCGGCATGGACTACAAGAAGAAGGCAGCTTGTTTGGATGATCAGTCTTTCGCCGGATACATTGCTTCGGGAGAGGAAATCACAGACAATATCGCCGACTACAGCGAGATCTTCACCGTCACAAAAGATCTTGCACTGTATGATCCTCGCGTCCAGCAGCAGTGGCCATGCCATGGTCCTTGCCCTTGGCCATTCACCCAGATGAAGACTGTCATGCAAGCCTACATGGACTACCTCGGCGAGAGCGGTGAGAAGATGTTGCAGCTCATTGCTTGGGGTCTTGGTATGGAGGACGGCAATGCCCTAACCAGGTACACGCAAGATGGCTGGCATCACATGCGTATTCTACGTTTCCCTGAGACCAACAAGGTCAACGGCAAGGGCAAGGCCGGCCGCGGTATCGGCTCCCATACTGACTACGGCCTACTCGTTATTGCCGCCCAGGATGATGTTGGTGGCCTCTTCATCCGCCCTCCGATCGAGGGCGAGACGTATGCCAACTGGAAGGAGAGCGCAGCCGGCAAGCACGAAGACACCGATGGTTGGGTCTACGTCCCACCTGTCCCTGATGTCTTCACTGTCTTCCCTGTAAGTCATCCCGACTCTATATGTTTTATCAAAGAATCCAGCTGACCAGCATCTCAGGGTGACATGATGCAATACATCACCAACTCCTTCCTTCCCTCGACGCCCCACAAAGTCGGATTGAACACAAGGGAAAGATTTGCTTTCGCATACTTCCACGAGCCGAACTTCTCCGCCGTCATGAAGCCGCTGCCGGGCTTCGAGGCTGGTCAGGAGCCTGCCGAGGGCATCCACTACGGCTCTCACTTCACCAACATGTTTATGCGCAACTACCCGGAGAGGATCACCGCTGATCGCATGAGGAATGAGGGCAGATTGGCTCTATTGGATTCGCCTAGCCTTCGTTGGAAGGATACACCAGTCGTGGGTGGCAAGAATGTAGCCAGCACTATCCCAGTGGATCAAACTGCTGAGAAGAGCGCGTCCATCTAATGAATCTGTCCACATTCTTCTCTTTTATACAAGGCCTTTCTTTTGTACGAGGTCTTCTCCTTCATAGGGAGTTTCTCTTCTATACCAAATACTTTTTTTGTCGCTTTATTGTTGCATGGTGCACGGAGCACTTGAGTATGTATAGCTACTCCACCTGAGGTTACCAGTTCGGTAGACTTACACAATACATTGATATTTGACTCAAAGACTTTGCACTTGTATCGTAGAGGATACGAGATATTCTTAGGGTCCACAGCACATACCAGACTACACATGTTGTATCTCTGTGAACGAGTGGGTATGATTTAGACTGGGAACAAACAAGTGTTTGATTTTACAGTTTTTATCGTATACATCTGGGCCCACATAAACGAAGTAAAAAGACTTTAATAATTCCGGAAATATCAAAGACCGAGATAGTCATTTACTACAGGAAGATGCGCTATCCGCAATTGACAGTGTCACTGGCTAATCAATACCGGCTCATGAACTATGTGACTACGACCATCGAGATTACTTCACATGCTATATAAATCTAGGATCTAATATCAAATCTTATGAACATCCTCAAGCAGGTCCCTTTAAGCCCCAATAAGTCGATCTTCCCCTGAGAGATAATGTAACTTTCCAATAGGAACCCCAGCATTCCGCATGATTGCATACGCCGTCACGTTATGAAAGAAGCTGTCAAGCATTGACGCTATATCAGTAAAGTTCACACAGGCAAGAATACATTCATGTTACTTACAAATTTGGCATGACAAACTCCTGCAGATAGGTCAAGCCGTTCAAGTCGAAATGCCACATGTTGGGCACGTCGATCGTGACAGGCATCTTGTCCTTTCCGCCGAAACACTCCGGACGTGCTTCCTCAAAACATTGCAAGGCCTCTTCGATCTGTGTGTACAGGTCCTGGAAAGAGGCCGCGCCAAAGTTGAATGTGGGCACTTCCATGTTAGCGAGGCGCTGGAGGGCTCGTGTGGCAGTGGTGACCTGGAAGAAGATCTGAAGGGAGAGTGGCTATAGTTGAAGTATCTTTAGATAAAGTTCTCTGTTCCCATTACAAGGGAGGTGACGTACGTGCATGTCAGGGGAGAGTCTAGCGTCGAGGAGCTTCGAGTGCGGGTACCCGTTCTCCTCGCACCACTCCTCGCCTTTCTTCAAAACCACCAAGTGATTCTGCATGGCCTTCCGGAGGACCGGTACGCATAGTTCGTAGAGAGTTACAGTGGGCGTCATCTTTGGTTGTAACTAAGATCGTGACAAAGACGTTACGTATCTATTTACGTAGACGTTTAGCGCCAAGGGAGCAGACTCCGCAACAATCAATCCAGATTGGTCAGATTGATTGATTTGATTGGTCATTTGGAGTTTTTACCAACTCAATCAACTCAATCTAAGCTTTTCAAAATAGCTAATCAAATCAACTTGCGAAGGTCAGATTGATTGATTTGATTAGTTAGATTGATTTATTATTAACGAGTTGTAAGGCGAGTAGTGTCGTATTAAGAGAAGGTTTTTGGTGTTGAAGATAGTTATCTTGGACCCCTATCTCGCTTAGCTTGTGATCCCTGTCGGCCGGGCAAGCCAGTCTCTATGCATTCACTTCTCACCAGCTAGCTCTCCTCTTATAGGACTAGCTCCTTCTGCTTAGGGGCTAGCCTCTTCTAGGCTTCACCCCGCACCTATATAGCTAGTCCTTCGCTGTTCTTAATACAACAACGATTTCGCTCACTCAGTTCCCTAATAATCCCTTACACACAACACTAGTTGCCTAGCTACCTATACAGACATTTTTCTTTAGTGTTTAGTATCGCCCACGATGGCCAAACGCTCTCGAGTTCCCACCAATACTGCTGCCGCCGCCGCCGCCGCCAAACGGGCGCGCCTATCAAGGCCCTCTGTCCTATCTCAGCGATCGCTGTCGCCTCAGGAAACCCTTGGCGCCGCCGTAAGCCAGGCCACAACGTTTGAGTCGCAATTTTTCGAGTCGCAAACAGAGGAGGAGGGTGCGGCTGAGGGCAGCCAGGCTGGTACAGCAGCAACAACAGAGGCTAGTGTTGATACAGAGCCTGATAATGGCGATAACTTTGACGGCATTAACTGGGATCGCCTCCCTCGGTTCATGAAGCCTCTTACAACTGGGCGGCGCGTCAAGAGTTGGATCTTTCAACATGGATATCGCGTTGTTGAGCTCTACGATCAGAATCGAGTGTGGTTTGTATGCAAATACTGCCACATCCACAAGGTCATTGACACTGGCGGCAGTGGAGTTTTTGACGTATCAAAGGCCACCTCCTCAGCTGCAGCTCATCTTGGCCTTCAGAAACGAGGCCATGGCTTTACAAAAGACGGCCTGAAGCCTCGAAGAACAGGGCAGCAACTCTCTCTACGACAGACGCTGGAGACTGGTGTTGCAGTCTCTCAAGAGGCTGCCAACGCGATGGGCAACTTCAACATCCAGCAGTTTCGTGAAGTTGCAGTGTTCTGCCTTCTTGATAACAACTTGCCAATGGAGCTACTTGCAAGGCCGTCCTTTCGCGAGATGATTAGCCTTGCAAACCCAGAGGCAGAGGCAGCTTTGTGGGTAAGTCCTCGCAGTGTAGCTACCTACGCAATGCGCCTCTTCCAATATATGCAGCCACAGATTGTCTGCGCTCTGTCAGAAGCTGCAAGCAAGATCCACATAAGCTTTGATGGTTGGACGACAAAGGGTGGCAAGCGTGGATTCTTTGGAGTCGTTGCACACTTTGCTAACGCCTCTGGAGTGATACAAGATCTCCCCATCGCCCTCCCACATCTCGCAGGCTCTCATACTGGTGATGCTATCGCTGATACAATTAAAAAGACGCTCCAAGAATACAGTATTGGGAGTGATAAACTCGGCTACTTCGTCCTCGACAATGCTGCAAACAACGATACTGCAGTCTCCTCGCTCGCCCACGCGTACGACTTCAACGCTGCTCACCGACGCCTCCGCTGCGGCCCTCACACGCTTAACCTTATTGGCCAGGCAATTATCTTTGGCAGCAATCAAGAGGCGTACAACAACAACAACGACGAGCAGCTCCAAACAGAGGAGGTGTACATGCAGGAGTGGCGTCAAGAAGGGCCCTTAGGTGTACTTATCGACGTTATCAACCATATAAAAACGCCTCAACAACACGAAATTTTCCGAAGCTTCCAAACCGCCGCCAACGCCGAGTTGCCAGCTAGAGAGCGCCTCCACGTACTTGAGCCTGTGAAGCCTGTTGTTACACGCTGGAACTCTTACTACGCTGCCTTCAAACGCGCAACTCAACTCCAGGCAGCATACAACTCTTACGCTGAGCACTACATTAACGCACTCTCCCTTGAAGATCGCCGCGCTTGTCAACGTGGCAATAAACTCCCTGAAGCACCTAGTTGGATGAGATCAACAGGACTTACAGCTGCTGATTGGGCGGTGATAACAGAGTATCAGGACTGCCTAGAGCCGCTTAAGCTTGCTACGGAGAAGCTTGAGGGTCGCGGAAAGGCAGGCAAATACGGCGCTATATATGAGACTATTCCTGTATTTGAATACGTACTTGGCGCGCTCGAAGCCCGTACGCGCTCGTACGAGCAAGTTGACTTCAACCCACCTGATGCGCCTGAAGATCACCTCTTTGTTAACCTCCGCGCCGCCTGGAGTAAGGCCAACGATTACTACAACAAGCTCGATCGATCGCCAGCATACTACGCTGCTACCTGCCTCCATCCATACTACAAATACTACTGCGAGAACAGCTGGGTGGATAAGCCAGAATGGCTAACATCAGCCAACGCTGGCTTCCTGCAGCTCTGGCAGTCGTATAAGCCTCAACGTACACGTCCTCTATCTCAAACAACTGCAAAACCAAGGCATAGAGGAATAGATGATGTGATTGGCGCCCTCGTACGGCGCAACAAGGCTCAGGTAGAGGCTGCCCACGACGATGAGTACGAGCGCTGGAGAACTCAAGAGCCAGAGTGGACAAGCGAACAGTATCTTAGCGATGGCCACCCAGTCAAGTACTGGATTCAATTACGCTCAAAATACCCGTGTTTAAGCCAGTTTGCGATTGATATACTCACGATACCAGCATCTAGTTGCGACTGCGAGAGGCTCTTTAGCGAGCTTGGCGATTTACTTGAGCCGCGCCGGCGAGCTCTTGGCAGCGAGTTACTTGCTGCCCTTCAGCTTGTACGTTCGTGGAGACGAGCTGGCTTTGACGGCTTGTACAACAACGGTGATGATGAAGATAAGTGGAGTGACGTCAAAGATGAGGAGATTGTACAACAGTACGATATAGAAGGCTGGAGTACAACACCATAACCCCCTGTATACTACTTCTTAGCATCAATCAGCCAATCAACCAATCAATCGCAATCAATCTGCTCAAAAACCCTAACAATCAATCCGCAATCAATCAGCAGCGTCGCCGCAAGCTAATCAAACCAATCGACAACCTTAAGATTGATTGATTTGATTGTTGCGGAGTCTGCCGATATACTAATGTAAAAAAGCCACTGTAGCCGCCAAACACCCGATGCAACAGATGACCTCGATTCTAGGTTTTAGATGGTGATTTTTTCGGATAGTGCATTATGGCGCATACAATGATCTAATATATCATGTGTGTGCACATAATAAGGGCATGCGTAGGGCATATCCATGGGCGGTTTCTATGTATCGAATGATCGGACTCTTCGACAAATACATCTAGATTATCGGAAAAGATTGTGACAAAGCAAGCGATTTGCTTTTTAAAATCATGTGAAGGTACCTTTATCAGTGATGTTGGTGCTTAGCAGCAGAGTTTCACAACGCAGTTTTGTTGTGGTATAATTATTTAGTGATTTGCTATTAGCGCATCAGTGCGTGTTTGTACGTTAAACACCCAATGCTTTCCGATGCCCTGTCCAGTATTGACCTTAAATTGACCCTAGGTCAGGATCCAGTTAAAGCCAAGACTTACAAGCACCACGTGATGATAGCGCCTAGACAACATCACTCCCTGCAACACCGCCAGCTATGTAAACAGCGTGCATCCGTTCTGCTCACTGACTTGGCACAGCACTAGTCTGCGCGCAGCTTGTATTCAAATCAAGTTTACCCCCTGCACTTCTTCACTTTTACCTTTCCTTCACTTGTTCAGCCATGAATGGCCGTTTGCATTTACTCAGACTCCGCAACAATCAATCGATTGACATGATTGATTCCTATATAGGTTAAAGAATTACTTCATTAGGCAGCCTTTAACCTAGATAGGAATCAATCATGCCGATCCGATTGATTGTTGCGGAGTCTGCATTTACTGCTGCCTTACGGGCTAAGCAGCTACTATACAAGTTGCCATACTAAAGGTAAAGCTACGACAAGCTTGCGCAGACTGCCAGTCTTTCGTGTTGCCCCTCTGAAGAAACTTGCGACTGTCAATGCCTCATATCCTTTATCACGGGTCGACGCAAAGACAAAAGACAACATCAGCGTTCAAAGAGACATGGACTCGACAACTCGGAAAGAGAAGCGCAGCAGAAAGCACAGGAAGAGGATGACTCTATCAGTAAAGAGAGTACCGAGAGTCTCCAAATCGGGGCGCAAACGAGCGAAGACAGCAAGAGCGAAGTCAGAAACGCAGGCAGGCGCTTCCCGGATCGTTCCAATCACACTTGATAGTGACGATGACGAGCCTGCAAGAGACCGCAGCTCACACACCAGAGCGACTGAGTCCCAAAGGTATGTCGATCTCGAAGATCGAATGCGCTACTAGCGAGGCGCGGGAAACCTCGCATTTGACAGAGACTGACCCCCACAGTACATCCCGTGGCCCAACCCGCAGACTCCGCAACAAACAAATAGATCTACAGATTGAATACCTAAATAAGTTAGTTTCCGTCCGGGATTTCCTATCTAAGTATTCAATCTGTAGATCTGTTTGTTTGTTGCGGAGTCTGCCAACCCGTACGCGAATACTTGACCCAAACCTAGGGCAACTTCGGCATCAATCTCACAGCTCTTCTCAGAACCAGTCTGGGGAAAGGAGTAGCGTATATCCGCCGCTGAGCAACACATACAGCCCCGCGGGCTTCTTTCTGCCGCGCTCGGCACCTTCTACGTATACATCCGCTCCCGATCCCACGAAAGAACACCGGCAATATGATTTCGCACGGAAAAAGATTTATAAAAGCATCTATTCAATGTATGGAACTTCTTGAGAAGTACGGGAACAACTCTAATGTATGACACCAGGACTTTGGACACTGACAGAGCCGACACACCACCCAAGAATAGGCAGGGCGCATCAGCAACAAGATCTCGACACTCCTCACCTAAAAGGTCTCATGTACCCGCTTCTCAACGCCACAATCTGGACAAGACACACCCTGTACGTTCTGGCAGCTTCGCAAAGTCGCCCGCAGCTACCAGCTTGTCGCCAGCAGACTTTCCAAAAAGCAAGTTGACTTGGATTACTTGCTTGACTTGCTTGGTTTAAACCAAGCAAGCAAGTCAAGTAAGAGCTGGGCAGCTAAGCAAGCAAGTCAAGTCAAGATACTTTGCTTGCTTGGCTTACTTGGTTTACTTGGTTGTTTTAGCGTTACTGTGATGAGGGTGCTAAAACTGCTGTACGGTAGATGTCGCGATGGTTTTGAAGTGTTGCAGTTGCCTCGGTTGAGTCCCAAACAGGCTAAGCGGCTATCAAATAACGTTAGCCTTAGTCTAGCGCATTGCTCCAATCTCGACGTACGCCTGTCTAGAAGCCTATCGCAATGCAGTATCCCCTATAGCAACGCGTTTTCCAGTGATTTATACTGCCCTGATACCCCCAATATGGCCAAACGTCGCCTACCACAAACTTCTGCTCGGAGCAAACGTACGAAAGTAGCCGCTGCCACCAACAACGTCGCCTCAACTCCTGAGGCTTCACCTGAGCCTGCATCTAAGCCTGCATCTAAGCCTAGACCTCAGCGTCGATCACCTCGCAAAACCCTAGCTGCCGCAAGCCAGGCTAACGCCTCGCCGCCAATACCTACCTTCGAGTTGCAGTTCTTAGAGTCGCAGGCGGAGGCTGAGATTGTCGCGCCCACCGAGGGCAGCCGAGCTGGCACGGTGGCTACAACTGAGGCTGGAGAGGGTGGTCAGGATGAGACAAACAGCGCACTAGTTGAGAACTTTGACGGCATTGACTGGGCACGTTTACCTGATTTTATCAAGCCATTGGCGCGTTCTAAGCGCCCAAAAAGTTGGATCTTTCAGTATGGCTACCGCGTTGTTGAGCGCCATGCTACATCTCGAATCTGGTTTGTGTGCAAGTACTGCCATGTACACAAAACTATCGACGCTGGCCGTGGTGGTTTGTTTAACATTACTCAGGCTACAACCTCAGCAGCCACCCATCTCAGCCAACCAAAGCCTGGCCACAACCTTACGAAAGATGGCCCAAAGTTAGCGCAGAGAGCTCGAGGCCAGCTGTCGTTGCGGCAAGCTTTTGACGCTGGTTTAGACGTACAACAAAACACTGCTAACGCGTTTGGAAACTTCGACGTAGAGGGCTTTCGAACAGCCACTGTCATGTGGCTTGTTAACCGAAACCACCCGCTCAGCGAACTTACGACGCCTGATTTTAGAGAGATGATGAGATTTGCCAACCCAGAGGCAGAGGCAGCGTTGTGGGTAAGTAATACCAGCGTTTCTACCTTTGTGATGAGGTTGTTCCGGTCTATACGACCGCAAGTTATCGACACCCTGTCAGGCTCAGTAAGCAAAATACACGTAAGCTTTGATGGCTGGACAACAAAGGGTGGTAAACGTGGCTTCTTTGGAGTAGTCGCTCACTTTGCCGACGCAGCTGGAATAATACGAGACTTACCAATCGATCTGCCTGAGCTCGCTGGCGCCCACACCGGTGAGGCTATTGCCAAAGCTATCTCGACGACGCTCTCAGCATACGGAATAACAAGCGACCGATTAGGCTATTTTGTACTCGACAACGCTACCAACAACGACACTGCGATCGCCGCGCTCGCGCGCGAGTACGAATTTGAGTCCGCTCACCGGCGCCTCCGCTGCAGTTGTCACACGCTTAACCTCATCGGCCAGGCTATTATATTTGGCACCAACAAAGACGCCTACGGCAACACTCAAGAGCAGTACAATACCGAGGAGCAGTATATGCGAGAGTGGCGGAAAGATGGCCCTATTGGAGTGCTAGTTGACGTCATCAACTATATCAAAACGCCGCAACAGTACGAGCTTTTTCGTGGCTACCAGCGCCTTGCCAACAACAACCTGCCTGCTGAAGGGCGTCTCAAAGTACTCGAGCCAGTCAAGCCTGTCGTCACTCGCTGGAACTCATACTATGCTGCTTTTGAGCGCGCTACCAAGCTTCAAGCCGCGTATAACTTGTACGCTGAGCATCATATCAATAGGGTTATCCTTGAAGATGCGCACGCTGCGCAGCGGAATAATAAGCGGCCCGACGCCCCAAACTGGATGAGATCAACTGGGCTCCGAGCTGCTGACTGGGCGGTGATTGCAGAGTACCAGGACTGCTTAGAGCCGCTCAAGTACGCCACAAAACGCCTCGAGGGACGCTCTAAGGATGGCAAATACGGCGCAATCTATGAGGTTATACCCGTTTTTGAGTACGTACTCAGCAAGCTTGAGGCCCGGGCGCGCCCGTTCGAGCACGTCGACTTCAACGCTCATGCCGAGGCTCCAGAGGATCACCTCAACGTCAACCTCCGCGCCGCGTGGAGCAAAGCCAACGACTACTACAACAAGCTCGACGACTCGCCCGCTTACTACGCCGCTGTTTGCCTACACCCGTACTACAAGAACTACTGCGATGTGGCGTGGGCAGACAAAGCTGATTGGCTTACTAGTGCCAACGCGTCGTTCCAACAGCTTTGGGCGGCATACAAACCTCAACGAGCACGCCAGCGGTATACAACTGCGCCGAGTAGCAACAACATAGACGAGGCAATTATTGCTATACTTAGCCGCAACAATGACCGAGAGGCTCCACTTGACGAGTTTGAGCGCTGGAAAACACAAGAGCCGCAGTGGACGCAGGAGCAGTACAACGCAGATGGAAATCCTGTCCAATACTGGATACAACTACTGCCGAAATACCCGCATTTAGCGCAGTTTGCAATCGATATCATGACTATCCCAGCATCAAGCAGCGACTGTGAGCGCCTCTTCAGTGAGCTTGGCGACCTTCTTGAACCTAAACGACGTGCTCTGGGCAGTGAGCTACTCGCAGCTCTTCAATTAGTAAGGTCATGGGTGCGAGCTGGTTATAAACCGTACAACTGTAGCGAGGCTAAGCTTTCAGATGAGCAGCTTGTAGGAGATTACAACATACTAGAGTGGAACACTGAGTTTTGGTAATTTGTATGTAGCTTAATCTCTTTGTAGTAGTCAAGTAATCCAAGTACTTGCAAGTAATACAAGCAAGTCAAGCAAGTAAAAAAATCACCCCAAGCAAGTCAAGTAAAGCCTATGTTTGAACCAAGCAAGTCAAGTTTAGAGCGGTGACTTGCTTTACTTGCTTGTTGGAAAGTCTGGTCGCCAGACTCCGCAACAATCAATCGGATCGGCATGATTGATTCCTATCTAGGTTAAAGGCTGCCTAATGAAGTAATTCTTTAACCTATATAGGAATCAATCATGTCAATCGATTGATTGTTGCGGAGTCTGCCGACGAACCCGCGCCGGAACCGGTCTCTAAAACGAGAGCACGACCTTCGAAGCCAGGGTTGAAGATATTCGCCGCTAGGATGCGTCATGCATCCAAGGATGAGAAGCGTATCAAGTCAGGAAGTGAAGGCGTTGCCGGATGTACTGCTAAAAGTACGAAGCCCACATTTGTTAACCCTACGCACGCACGGGAGACAAGCAGCGACAGTGAATTTGTCGTCGATGATAACGGTACACACTACGGTCTTAAATCTGATGATGATTTTGATCCGAGTGGCCCCAGCACCCGTAGATCTGGGTACGGTGAAGTGAAGATGCGAGATGGCGATGACGCACTTGATCTAGACATAGACATGCACCCAAACTACGCTTATAATGCAGGCATACTGAGGAAGAAACGGGGGCGTTAAAATACATGAATATAGAGAATCTGCTGGAACTACTGGTGGATAGCTTCGTTACAGATACATTCATACAATGTTGCAACTCAAGGATGACGGTGTCGATAGAGATTAATCTCACGGGTACCACCTAGACGCGCCTTTTTGTATCTACCAACTCATGATGTTCAACGGAGCAACAGTAAAATGGCGCATGCACTTGTGATAACGTGGAGGCAATTACATACTTGGCTGCTTATTTCTAGCCTCTTTGGGTCTATCATTCCTGCGGAATGTCTCTCTGTTCCCATTATCATGTCTTAGAACACGTTGTTCTCTAGTATTAGCAAGCTTCTGCATTGTTCTTAAATATGCATGTCCAACAAGACAAACAAATAGCGTTTTTGCTAACCAAACAATCTCATGTACTTTTTCCAAGGTAAAAAAACAATGACTTATCGTTCTTATCCAGAGTGAAACATGGGTCCAAGCCACCTTCACCTTTAGTTTTCTGTGCTCAAGTCAAGAAACTCACCACCAGGAAACTCACTACTAATACGGCGCACTACACTGTTTGTTCTAATATAACCACAACAGTCATACAAATTAGCACCCCTGAGCTTATAAAACATCTCCGGAAAGTATGCCAAGCCCCCTATCTGAGTTCTCCTACACCCAACCCAAGCGTCTTCCAAAGAAAAGAAAAATACCGACCACCGCCGAGTTCCGCAAAGCAGCCGCGGAACTAGACTACATCAACTCTTTGTGTACAGAATTCAAGATCCCAGCAATCGTAGATCTGCTCAGCGATTCTGAGACTGAGCCGGAGATGCACGATTACGAGTCTACTCACCGTAACCAAGCGCGACGCAGGCAAGCAAAAGACCTGGACGGGAAAACTACGCAACCAAAGAGAGGGAAAGCGCTGAGGAAGAGTAACGTACCGAAACGACGTCGTTTGATCGTGGATTCAGAGGATGAAAGTCATGGTACGTCACCCCACCTTTTCCTCATCTGCCTATTCAAAACCTCCGATACTAACGTTGAACGAAGATGACTCTCTGCCCCACTCACCCTCTCCAAGCGCTTCTATCCCATCAAAGTCGCTAAGAGAATGCCGTCAAAATAGACGCAGGCGGAGAAGCGAGGAGTGGATTTTGTCGGATACAGACGAAGAGATTGTGAGGAAACCCAAGAGAAGAAAATTGGATCTCAAGGCAGAGGATGAGGATTTGGATATTGACATGAAGGGATGGGAAGATGTTGTGAAACGGGATGGGTCAGGACGAAGGGGAAGATAGATTGGACAAGGGGCTGAGTAGTATATCTGGCCTGTACCCAGGTGGGGAAAGGGGACAAAGGAGAAGGTTTGCCGGTTGCGTGTGTAGAATCCAATTGACGACATGATATGGATTCAGGGTCCCATGGCGATTGGAGATTATATGGGTCAGGGTACAGTCGTCAAGTCATCGTGTGCAAGAAGTAACCAGACTTATTCAAAGAGCAACAAGTGGCGAAAGCAGAGGGTTGTCCAATTAGAAATATCGATTAATTCCATAACCGGCATTTCTTACCCCATCTCTTACATATCCATCCAAAAGTCCTCAAATAATTACATAGACGCAGAAAATGTGCGATCGAAGAAAGGGCCTAGCCTGAAAGAACAGACTTTTGCACCGTGAGTATCCATGGGAAGGCAGTATAATGCCTACGAACGCACATGCACACGTCCATGCTTATAACCTGTCCCTAGAATACACTGAAAGCGCCGCTTACGGAGACATGAAACGTCTCTAGTTTCCATTCTTGGC